CTCAGAAGGATGTGGGCAAGAGCCTTGCCTGGTATACTGAGCAGTGTGATGATGAAAATATAAATTCTCTGTAGCTGCCTCTGTTTCTCTCACAGTCAAACACAAATGCATGACACAACTCGGATATATTCATATAAACTGTCCAGAGGCTTTACAAGGGTACATAGTATATCAAAAGCTGAAATTAGTCAATCTATATTGTTTTTCTTCTTGACTGGAACAGTAATGTGATCTGGAATTCATGATGTATCAACAAAAACACATGAATGCATATGTTAAAAAATGCGTCTCACTAAATAGCCTCAACACGTAAAATAAATAAAGCTGACCCTTTAAAAGTACATAAACCCATTCAGTGTACTTTTTTTTGCCATAGTGCCATACATAAATAGATCTGTACATCAAAACTAAAGTGCCCTACCCTGCTAACACTATATTGCACACTACATGGTATAAACTACAGAGACTACCAAACAAAAGCAGCTTTATCATAATTTGAAATTTATTTTACAACATGACAGGATCTAAGTAAGCAAGGATACTGAATATCATTACAGTATAAGCACAACATGTATTGATTATATATAAATGAAACACAGGTATAATTCAAGACTGTATTTGCATGGTGCAAAAAAATCTTTGTATGCACCACTATAAATGATCTTATAACCCACACCCATAAGTGAAAAAAGGCAAAATTCTAATATCAAGGCATTTGAAGCAACTAACCCCTAAAGCTGACTGACACTCAGACCAATTCCCATTTAATCATTACTTTATACCGTTTCCTCTTCCTGAGCCAATCACAGCACCTAATGACTACTCTTGACAAATGAATAAATGTACTAAGTATAATATAAGAAGTTTTATAATGTATAGCATATAAATCTCCCCAAAACCCTTACAAGTTTCATACATTGATCCCATGGTCTATTACTTTCTCTTAACTGTTTACATACTTAGATACAGGTTTTAATATGCAAATTTGTGCACACTTGTTCACTTGTGCTCTCTCTCTCTGCCTGCCTCACACTCCACTGCTTAATAGCTATTGGATATAGAAGCACGAGACATGCATTTTCTAGTGTGTAAATTTAAGCTCTGCAAACATCAGTGATCAAACTTATCTTTAGTTATATATAAAAAGTTTCACTTTTTTAGAGCAGCAAGGCATGTCCACAGAATTGAGGTCTTTCAGGGTTAATTTCTTGCTCTCATATATATCTAAATAATGACAAGTTTCTAGTTGAATAAGCTGGATGTACCTGACTTTTGAACATGATAATTCTACATAAAAGGATCTCTGAAAGACTAAGAGAAATTATCCACATGCATATACCACACAGATGTTTAGAGACTATCATGTCCTCTTAAACGATTCAAAATCTGTTATTAAACTCCTCTATTTAACAACTAGTGGGACTTCAGAATACACATTAAATGTGCTATGTTTTTAGCAAGCAGCACAAATAAACACTCTATCAACAAAATAAGCACATCAACTTGTTGAAAATGCAAAATATCAGACACTGGATCAAAATTACTAAACAGGAAAATATATACATAGTCAAACTTCAAATACAGTCATTACGTAATAGACCAAAGAGCAAGCAGGGGAAAAAAGAAATGTGCACATGATGACAACAGCAACAAGACATATCTGAAGACACTAAAACATCCGTCTATTCTAAATTCAGAATCTACTCAATCAATCAAATAAGCATCTGTACTTTTTGATAATTAGAGGCTGACAAAATAGACACTTCTGTGAAGAAATAACATTCCAATTTCCATGAAGAAATAACATTCTAATCAAAAGAGAATAAGAAAATACACATCTTGCATCAAATGTCACTCCCCTGATAATCCCACCACCCACAAAACAAAACAAAAACTAAAACCAAAAGAGAAAAAAAAGTGAGGGGAAAAAAAATAATGATAAACACTTACCTAAAGCTATGAGGAGAGGTTTGGCAAGCTCGGCCACAGCTGGGTGTGACAGCACGGTGCCAATGTCTTTGAGAGTACCATTGTTGGGTCCAGGTGGGAGGGACAACAAGTGGCACAACAGAGGGTACACGTCAACATTACTAAAGGAAGGTGCCTTGAAGCCCCTCTTGAAAGACGGACCAGCAGCGACAAATATAGGCTCCATCTCCGAGGTATTTGTCGGGTAGCCGTGGTCACCAAATGTGTTCGTCACTGTACATTGTGTGTGTGTGTGTGGGGGGGGGATTATATGGTTAAACTCATATCTCAGAATAACAAAACCATAAAATATTACAAAACATCAACTATATCTCAATGTCGCAGTATTCCAGAAATCCTTCTGCGGAGAAGTTGTATATGTAGGTAGAGGAGAGGGAAGGGAAGGGAAGGAAGGGAAGGGAAGGGAAGGAAGGAAGGGAAGGGAAGGGAAGGGAAGGAAGGAAGGGAAGGGAAGGAAGGAAGGAAGGGAAAGGGAAGGGAAGGGAAGGAAGGGAAGGGAAGGGAAGGGAAG